TTTTATCAACCAAGTGCCCAAAAAGACACTCAGCTTTTGCAAAAGGTGGCCCACTTTGTATTGTGTTTTTGTCGTGCACAGACCATCCCCATACAAAAATTGTCCCCCAGAGCAATTTCTAGCCACTTTTACTGCGTTTTGCATTTTTACAACCCAAATAGGGTCGGTGGGTATGTGTAGAGATGACGATAACTCGACTCCGTATCTTCGTGCCAGGCCCATCCCCTCTCTGGTTCTGATGGTCGCTGCCTCGCGCTGCACTTCAGAGTTGAGGGATCACCCACCGCAGCAGTGCCGGGGCCCAGCAATGCCTGATCACCGCTCTATTCAGAACATCCTCCCCGCGCAGTGTTACGGGTCCTTTCGGGGGCTTCTGTGACGCCCTGGATTTGTGGTGACTGAACCCAGGGCCTTTTGGCCTGGACACCTGACTATTCTCGGTTAGCTCTTAGGCTGAAAATTCCAGAGGCATCCAGTTGTGGGCTCAGTCGCCTTTCCATCGGATCTTTGTAGTTCGAGTTTTTCAACATTACAGTTGAATTTGAGGTACCTGAATACTTCGCTTTCAACCTTCCGAGATTGGCCCGAGCCCTGGAGCCCCCGGGGCCGAGCTCTTTGCTTTGTCATCGCGTCGGGGAGCATCCTGGAGGCGATGTCATTGCGGGGGAACCAAGTGTCGCATGTATGCTTGATACAACATCTTTACCATGATAGAAGTAGAATCTTATAACGATATGTAGTAGATATGTAGTTGTTTAATAAATCAAAGATTGAGAAGACAACCCCTTTCCCTTTCCTCTTTTCCACGGTAGCAAACTGTGTGGGGAAAGCAGTTCGTTCCAAGAATTGGAGCCGCCAGCGCAAAAACGAACCAGTGGATCAGATGGAGCCCAACCAAGATGTTACTGTGAATATGATAGACTGCAGAAGTAGCAATGGCAAGAATAAGCAACCTCGTGAGCAGTAGTAAACTGATGAAGACATGGTAGAGATGTATATGATATTTTAACTACATCATGGACAAGATATATATTGTTGCCCGACACAAAACTTGGCGTGTGCCAACACATCAACATATATTTGGTTCTATTAGTTCTATTATTATAGGTTCCTAGCCTTGAAAGTCAACCATGGCACGATAAATCAAATTTCCAAATTTGCTTCGAGTTCATCGCTGTAGCCCTGGACGGTTTCTCCTATCCTTGGACTTTCTACTCCGTACACTACACACATGTTCTAAAAATTGTAGCTTTGGACTATTCGATTTTGCAGCTACTATAGCACCGGTCCGTGCGACCGGTCCAGCACAGGTGCAGCTAATTATTGAGGTATTGCTTCCCCCCGAA